TGTTTGGCATGGGCGGAGTGAGCATGTCTCATGACACCAATGTTGCTCATAATCGTAACGTTGAGTCTAGGCAGTCCACGGCAAGTTTGGTTTTGCAGAAGGCATCGTCTCCTAAATCATCGCCGAGCAAGCAGGCACGTCCGACAAAGCTCCTGATTTACGGCCTCACTTGCTGGCGCAGGGTTCGAACTTTGTGATACTGTATGATGCAGTCATGATCGTCCGAACCCCCGAGTCACGTGCACCAGGGGCCATGCATTTCAGGTTCTGCGCCTACCACCAGCGGCAGCCCGATCTGCGACCTCGCCGAAGGCAACGAAGGCTCCTGATTTCAATCTGTCTGCCTGCCTGGCTAGCTGGCTGTCTGCCTGGCTTTCTCTCTCTCTCTGTGCCCTCTGTTTCTTGCCCGGCGCTCGCATGCATCGTGCCACAGCAGTCTCCCGGCAGAAGCTATCCTCCTCAAGACTGTCTTATGAGTCTTATGAGTCTGTATCTGCGCGGCATTGTTAAAATGCTTGTATCAGTCCGACAGTCTTTCAGCAACGAGCCTTCTGCCTCGAAAGCTGTCCTGGACGCCTTTGGCAGCACGTGCAGGTCCTTTTTTGGTGGAGCTAAACAAAGAGCTGCAAACAAACTTGTTTCATTTCGATCCAACCAGGAATCTTGATTGTCAGCTGCGGTTGTCGGGGCTTTGTAGCTCGCAAGAGCGCCTTCTATCCTGAAGTACAGAACTCGTAGTGGTGCGGAAAGACATGCTTGGCTCTGAACGCAAAGTAGGAGATGTCGTGCAGTGGCGGTCTCATTTTGCAGTCTGACGGAGGCTCTTTCGCCGGGCAAGTTCAACAGCAATCCGATTCGGGAGATGCTTGGCAGAGGAAGTTTCCAAGCCATACCACGGGATGTCACAAACACCGCATCACAGTAGCGCTTTTTGCTGAGTCGACAGCTTTGTTGGCGACCTCTGTATCCAAGGCGACGACAGATATCCGAGCCCCCACACCCCGAGCCTTCCTTCCACCTCGGCTCCGAAACACCTGGGAATGGTGTCGCCAAGGTTGGGAAGCCAGCCGTGATTTGTTTGTGTAGGTAGCTGCCATCTTGTGTTCCAGGAAATCGAGGACCTCAGGGACACGTTATTGAAGGAGCTGCGGTCATCGAAGGTGCGACGAGCACTGAGTAGTGGGAGAGGGGTTTCATTGAGCGAGCAGTCCCCGATGCAACGCTTTGTCTCGGGCTCGGGCTTCACCTTGGGAACTGGCTCAATCCCTCAACAGCACATGTCGTCCATGCAGGCTCTCGTATCGCCCATCATCGGCGACGGTGGTTTAGAGCGCATCCTGCACGAGGCCCGCGGTTTCACCGGAATCCTCTGCTTCTTTTCATTCTTTGGTCATGCTTTTGAAGTCGAAGCGGTGGCTCCTGTATGTGTTGTGGTGCTATCGTGAGGTTCCAGGCTGTAGACATGTGGAGGGGGATGATTCAACGGAGCTGTGAAGGCTGCAAGAATGTTGAGTCAGCCGGAGCTATAATATCAAGAACTCAGCAACTGCAAAGCATCACAGATCATCATGGCATGTTATAGAAGCGCAGAAAGGCCTCCAGCCGTTTTTTGAGCAGTATCAGATAAGATGGATGCAGGTAGCCTGGAACAATGTGGAACCTCGAGCAGAGCAGTACTTGACTACTTAATCCAAAATCTCAGATGCAGTGACGCCGCTGTAAGTCGCAGGTGCCAACAATCGAATCAATAGCAGCGGTGGCAAACAAGAGCCTGTGTCGCGTTGCTGTTGGAGTGACAATTGGTCTGGAGGATATCAGTCCTCGGTCACTGGGATTCGGATATCGTTCGTCTCGGTCTCGAGGGTGTTAGCCCTCAGCTTGCCTGGCTGTTCAAATCATTCTTGCAGCGATCCCATTCCTCGCGAGGTCTTTAGCATCCTTCCAGCAACCCAAGCAAGCGGTGTGCAGCTTCCGGGAGGGAAGCTGCGCCCTTTGCCCAAAGCATTGGAGAAAGTTTCATCGAGCCTTTCGCCACCGAGAACAGTCTTCTCAAGCAGATCGAAGGTCTAAGTGTACAGGTGTTACAGAGGTTCTTTACTCCCTCCTTCGGCGTTCATACTCATGAGTTTCATGTAGCTCTTGCAACAATTCAGTTGAAAGCACATGCTCTCTGTCCGGGTTTTGTGAATAATTGGTCAGAGTCTGTGGATTTAGCAGCAGTGGCCCTTTAAAGCAAGCAGTGTTTAAAAGGACGGAGGTTTGCGGGGTGCACGGAGTTCACGGCGCTCGTTGAACCGGGTTCCGGTTGGTGGAATTAGCTTGCCCTGCTGATTTCATGATTCTTGATGCTTTCGTAGAAGGCCGGTCAGCAAACGTTGCGGCTGTACGGCCAGCAGTCTGTACCATACGCGCGCAACGTTGGCTGTGGTTGCTCGTGTGGAGAACAAGAGTCTTCTGTTCCAAACGGACACCTGCACGAAAGCCAAACGCCTGGGTGCTTTTTCCGAGAGATCTGTGTCCGAAAGGTGCCATGTCAACTGTCGAGATTCAACTGACTTTTTTTCCAGAGCCACGAAATTGGGAACTTGATCAATGAGAAAACACGATGATGAACCAGCCAACATCGACGTTTTTGCTGCCACTTCGCGAGGTGGAAGCAGTCCAGCGAGAGACATCATCCCAGCTTCAGCACCAGCTAAATGCAGTGGTTGAAGCAACTCGACAGGCAGGGGGCTTACGTCCTTACAGCGAGTTTCTGCAGGTTCACATGTGGCTTCTGAGAGAATTTGTCTCCCAGTGCAGTTTGAGGTTGAGTTGAACGTCCGACCTGCCTCATTGCAGGTGCACGCCGGCATCCTGAAGGAAGTTGCGTCCATACAATCTTGTGTGTCTTGAGCTCAGCAGCATAACGTTGTCCAGTGGGTTTTTGTGCTGTTTGATCTACCCGGGCTTTGACAGACCTTGCCTGGCAATGGCAGCACTTCGCGACTAGATTCCTAGATAGAGCCGCTCCAAAAACATCTGCACCGCGATTTTGCATCTGTGTCGTGACAAGCCCGAGCAACTGAGCTAACGAGGTGACATCACGAAACTGCAGAACATACAGCTGCCGAGATGAACCCTGCCTCCTAGGTCCGCGACCCTGCAGTCCTTGGCCCAGCAGAGCGCTGCCCATGTCGAGAGAGACTTCATCTGCAATTATCCAGGACGAGCACGGCACACAAGTTTCTTTCGCTTTGTTTCTCTGAGGCCTTGCTCGGTATCAGCATCCTGCCACCTGGCAACGCGCAAGGGTTTGTCCAAAGTTGTTGTGGACTTTGGGGGCGAGTGCAGGCTGACGACACAGACTGAGGCACCAGATCTTTGCAACGCAAGACAAAGCTCTCACGTGCACAAGGCCGCGGAGCTTGTTTGAGCGCCAAGTTTTTGAGCTGGCTGTGCCTGGGTTTGTGACAGGAGCTAGACTCGTGGAAGCAATCGTTCTTCGCTGAGCTGGAGGTGCTACTCGAAAGCTTACACGTTTGTAGAGTTGGCAGTGGACTGCAGCAATCCGTCCGCGGCGTCAGGCCATGAATCTGAGCTTTGCACAAGCACCGCAGTGGAGGACGGCTTCTTGGCGGGACAGAAATGAAGGCTCAAGCAATGCAAGTGAGAGATGCGTGGGGCTGTAGATGCCCCATGCCTGGAATCGAGGCGACCAAGAGCTTTCGACAGCATCCACATGCGCTGGATGTCCTGGACAACGCAGTGTCTCCTGCGCAGGGGACACCTTCGACAGCCAGAGAAGCTGCTGAGAGGAGACTTGCAGCAACAAGCTGCTGATGCACCCTCCGATTCTGTCTTCAGTGCAACCGCGCACGGGATAGTGACACTGAGTGCTTCGGTTGACACGGTGCGTCAGACTGAGGTCCAAGTTTGTCTTGCCAGCCCTGGATGATGTTGAATCTAAATCAGCCACTTGTCGTGTGCTGCAGCTCGGATCCATGAAGAAAGCCCAGGATTGCGGCAGCTGCTCTTCGCCACAGTGCAAGTCAGCGCGAGGCTTCGTGAATCAGTTTGAAGATTTCCGGACATGTCCCGATTGCAGGTGCGGTTGGCAGAACGGTCCACCCCCACATCTGCTTCCTCGTGGCTAGGCCTGAACTTCGTTCAGAAGTACTCAATGTCGACCTGTGTGCCTGGCAGCAGCTTTGGTCATGAAAGCAACTACAGGCCCCCTCGTGCCACGTTCACCGCATCCGAGCCAAGGTGGCCACCCTCCCCGGACGTGTCCGACGCGACCAGGCCGGCCTCATGTGTCCTGCACATGGACGTCTTTCATGTCGGTCTCGGCCTGAAGACAACTTGACACATGGTGACCCCTGCAGGCGATGGAGGGATGCACTGAGCTGAAGTCCGCGCCGCTCGAAGCGAAGCTGCGCCAAAGCTGCGCCTGCTCCGGAGCCCCCAGGCATGGCCCGCGGTCGCGTGAATGATTCTCCTGCCCACTGCCAAAGCAGGGATGGGTGAGACGTGAATTTCTAGCTCTAGCTCTCGTGACTCTATAGACATATGCGGTGCACCCTCTCCCCCTGCTCTGACAGACTTCCAAAGGAAGCTTCTGCAGATAGCATTGGAGGCACTCAGCACACGAGCAATTCCCGTGTGAGCAGGCCCAATTCCATGCATGGCCTCTAGGAAAACAGTCGGGGTTGGGGCTTCTCAGAGTGCCTTCGGAATTGAGGGCCTGCTACTGTATTGTTACTACTGTATGGTGCTTTCTCTGGCCTTACCAAGACTCTGAGGACTTTCCACGCTCCCGCATCGTCTCCCATTTTGCTCAGAGGGCTGCTGCTTCAAGCAGCCAGCTGCAGCACCTCAACGGCTTGTCGGGATCCCACGCAGGGGCTTAGAGACACGCATAGAAGCATCGCAAAAAAGTCTCTGCAAGAAGGGGATGAGTGATGAGTGTGTAGCCCCAGCCCAACGCCCGAGCAAGACTCCCTGTTCGCCTGGCGTAGGATGATGTTGAAGCACCCGAAGTTCACGGAGCTCCTGCGCGGCACTGCGTGGGGTCTCCAAGGTCTCCGGAGTTTCGCAGAGTGTCAGCCTGAGCCCAAAGCCCCGTGGTGGCATGCGGTGGCTGAGGCGAGGCTTGGCGGAGAAGTTTGCGGAGAGGGAACTTCAGTGTGGACCACAGCCGGGCCATGGTGTGTGCAAGGAATCGAAGAGAGAGAGAGAGAGAGAGAGAGAGAGAGCGAGAGACTTTTGACTTTGCATTAGCAGAACAATGTCTTGTCCCCTGCGCGTCTTAGCGCGACATGCTGCATCGCAGCACGGCCAACTGAGGGTTGTGGGGCA